CCTTTGGTGCATGCCAATTAATCTAGTCCCATTTGCCAGCATTTGGCCCAAATCCCTCTAGACCGTTCCTATTCATATACTCATCTGGATGCCTTATAAATGTTGTAATTGTACCAGCCTCCACCACTTCCTCTGGCAGCTCGTTCCATGATGCAACACCCTTTGCATGAAAACATTGCCCCTCAGGTCCCTTTTAAATCTTTCCCCTCTGGCCTTAAACCTACACCCTCTAGTTTTGGGCTCCCCTACCCTGGGAAACAGACTTTGACTATTCACCCTATCCATGCCACTCATGGTTTTATAAACCTCTATAAGGTCACCCCTCAGCCTCTTATGCTCCAAGGAAAAAAGCCCCAGCCTATTCAGCCTCTCCCTATAGCTCGAACTATTTAACCCCGGCAACACCCTTTAAATCTTTTCTGAACCCTTTCAAGTTTCACAACATCTTTCCTACAGCAGGGAGACCAGAACTGAATGCAGTATTTCAAAAGTGGCCTAACCAATGTCCTGGACAGCTGCAACATGACCTCCCAACTTCTATATTTAGTGAAGTCCTCTAAAAATCTTGTATATTTCAACAGTGTTGCCTCATTCTTCCAAACTCCAATGAATACAGGCCCAACCTACTGAACCTGTCCTCATAACATAGCCCCTCTACACCTGGTATTAGTCTAGCGAACCTGTCAACTGCCTCCAATGCAGTATATCAAATGCACAGTGGATAGCCTTTACCCACCTGAGCAAACAGGAATTCTGCACACTTCCACACTTACTACCTCACTTAATGCAGTGATCATGTGTGATGAGTAACTTTCAGGTGAGCAGTAACTCTATTCAGTTACATTATGAGTTATTCCTACCTCGCAGAGCAAATACACTTGGACAGCACATATTATTTTCAAGAGACTGTTTTAATCCCAGACCCATTTGTATTGTTATTTCATTACCTGACATATAACTGAATAAACAGTGACTGTCTAGAATCTCAATATATATCCTAATAGTTAAAGGAGGAACAATACTTAGAATGTTGATACATGAATGAATCTGAAAGTTCAGTTCACTTTGGGCACAGATTAACATCATCTGTGATCCGGGGAGGGCTTTGGAGTAGAATCTGTTCCCTCCTCTGTGGCCAGATTCTGGAGTTCCAAATGTTGTGTTGGATGCTTCTGCACCCATCCTTATCCCTGTTGAGGCATTATATTTTGGGGGCAAGACTGGAAGTCAGGCATGTTGATTGCCCTCAAGAAAGCAGCCCATCGTAACAGGGTCTTTTCACATTTGGGACATTTTGATGGAGATAGTCTCCACGATGGACCCAGTAATGTACCACACTGATACTTCCATTGCCTATTGTGCCACGGTGATACAGATAGCCCCATTTCAGATTTCAATGGGCAGGAACTTCTTCCCTTTGAGTATCTGGCTGACCAGCATTCCTGGCTAGCATTCCTGGCTGGGACCGCCTGGTCAAGTATTGTTGAGGTTCACCTTTGCCAAAATGCCCGTAACCATTATCACATTTTCTTGCCGTTCATCTTCCAGAAAGTCCAGGTGGTCATTACCGTGCTGGATTATGACAAGCTGGGAAAGAATGAAGCTATTGGCAAGTGTTTTGTGGGATGCAATGCCACCGGTGCTGAACTTCGACACTGGTCCGACATGCTGTCCAACCCGCGAAGGCCTATCGCTCAATGGCACACCCTCCAGCCTGAAGAAGAAGTTGACATTGCCCTGGGAATCAAGACGTCGTGATATCGTGCTGAGGCCATTAGGAGTTGTAGTAGTTGACTAAGCTTTGAACAGCCGTTTGTTTTTCTTTGTGGCTATTTGTAAAATATATAACAAACAAGTTGTTGATGAGCCTACACATGTACTTGTTTCAGGATGTCACAGTATGCTCAGAATAACCTTGAATAAGTCCAGGTGTTTCTCTATTTTCCAGGCAGTCTGTGCTCAATGATAATATTCAAGGGACTGTTTTTATCCCAGACCTGATTGTATTGTTATTCCTATTATCTGATTGTGTAGCATCATGCCTGTGTTGTCAGGAGGAAGTTGAAAAGGAAGAGAACAGGGCCTTGGGCTGAAGAGGGTGGGAGGGAGAAGAAATGACAGCAGAAAAATAAATTGAAAGTGAAATAGAAGAAAAAATGAAAACAAACTGAAAAGAAGCACAGAAAATGGGAATGAAGGAAGAAAGAGATAAAGGGGACGGTTTGTACACTGTCCTCCAAAAAATGTGATCAGGGGCTTCAGTGAACAGGCAGAATTCTATTTTGTGAACAGAAGTATGATCTGTTGAATAAAACTTAAGTTATTGTTCCTCATGTTTCTGTAATTGCTGGTGGTGTTTGGAACACTGTTCCTTCATGGTATTAATATGTTTACATGTTTAGCACGTGAACAGACCAAACATCTCCCTGTTGCAACATCACACAACTCTGAGCCAACACCAATATCAACTTGTATTTGTAAAGGGTGTTTTATATTTAAAACATTGCACAGCACTTCACAGGGCCACTGTCACACAAAACATGACACCAAACCACACAAGATGACCAAATGTTTGGACAAAGACATAAATTTTATGGAGTGGACTTAAATCATAGAATCCCTACAGTGCAGAAGCAGGCCATTTGGCCCATCAAGTCCATACTGACATCCAAACAACATCCTACCCAGACTCACTCCCCCCTACCCTATCCCTGTAACCCTGCAATTCTAATTGGCTAATACACCTAACCTGCATATCTTTGGACTGTGGGAGGAAACCAGAGCAGCCAGATGAAACCCGAAGGAGGGAAGCAAGGTAGATTGCTGGAAAGGGTTAGCGAAGGACTTTCAGAGCCTAGAGTCTGGGTAGCTGAAGGTATGGCTAAAACTTTTAAAAATCAGCGATGCTCAGAGGGCCAGTGTTGGCCGAAACCAGATATTTGGAGTGTTGTATGAGATCGAACCTCACCTGATGCATGGTGACCCTCAGGTTAAACCAGCACTAGCCAGCTGTCTAATAGGAGAGCAGTCTAATGGTTCTCTGGGGCTATGGTGACTTCACCTTTAGAGGAGAAGGGATTAAAGATAAAATTGCCATAGTCCTTCTGGACCATCGGACTGCTCTGTCATTGGAGAGAGAAACAACTGGTGGTGGTTTAACCTGAGGGTCACCATGCCTCAGATGAGGGGAGAGGTAGAGAAGTCCTTCATGGTAACCTCAACTGATGTGAGAATTGAACCCAGACTGTTGGCATCACTCTGCATTGCAAGACTGTGATCTAGCGAATCGAAGCTAACCACCCCACACCCTGAGACAAAAATTACAAAGATAAGAGATTACAGAGATTGAGACACCTCTACAAGGATAATTTTGCCTAGGATTGAGATGCAACAAAGAACCATTTCCTTTCTTCTTTTCCATAAGAGTTCAAGAGTTCTTTAAATGGAATGTCAAGAGGGTAATTTGAAATCTCTTCTGATTAATTCAGGAGCACATGTTGAGAATACTGCTGGCTGAACAAGAGCTTCAACAGAATGACTGCAAAAGTTTAAAGTCAGATGTATGTTCAGGCTGCATGATTGATAATTGCACCAAATGGTTCTGTAGCCCATTAAATGATCAGTAAAGGGCTTTAGTGTCTATTAAATGATCAGTAAATTGGAATTACAGATAAAAAACCTGCTGCCATTGCAGATGTGTCTCTGAAGCCTGTGAATGCTATGGAAACGCTATGTGGGTCTGCAGCACAGAGAAATAAACTAAATTTATAGAATCATACAGAAGGCCCATCTGGGCCATTCATAATTCTGAGCCAACACATTGATGGAGCTATCCGTTTAGTAAAGCCTTCTTCCCTAATCTCTGCCCTTAGCCCTGTGATCGTTTCCTGTTTGAGCACCCATTCAATTCACTTTCAGGAGTCAATATTTCATCTGCCTTCACCACCCCTTACGGCAGTCCTTTCCAAATCACGTTATGCAATGTAAAGATAAAATTCTCATCTCACCTCTGGCTCTTTTGCAACTTCCTTTAAATTTTTCTCCAATTGTTTTCTTTTGGACAACCAGTATTTCATTTTGAAACAAAAACAGAATGCTGGAGAAACTCAGCGGGTCTGGTAGCGTCTGTAGAGAGAGAAAGAGAGTTAACATTTCAAATCTTGACTTAATTGCTCAGACCTGTGAGTATAGGAGTTGGGGTGTTATGTTGAGGTTGTGCAGGATGTTGGTCAGACCCCTTCTGGAGTACTGTGTCCAATTCTGGCCTTCCTATTGTAGGAAGGATATTATTAAGCTGGAGAGGGTTCAGAAAAGATTTACCAGAATGTTGCCGGGAATGGAAAGTTTGAGAGATAAGAAAAGTCTATATAGACTGGGACTTTTTCACTGGAGCATAGAAGGTTGAGGGACAACCTTACAGAGGTTTATAAAATCATGAGGGGTAAAGATAGGGTGAATGGCAAGTGTCTTTACCCTAGGGTGGGGGATTTCAACACTGGGGGCATATTTTTAAGGTGAAAGCAGAAAGATTTAAAAAAGACATGAGGGGCAATTTTTTTACACAGAGAGTGGTTCGTGGGTGGAATGAACTTCCAGAGGAAGTGGCGGATGCGGGTACACTTACAGCATTTAAAAGACGTTTAGATAAATACATGAATAAGAAATGTTTGGACAGATACGGACCAAGCGCAGGCAGGTGGAACTAGTTTAGTTTGAGATTATGGTCAGCATGGACTGCTTGAACCAAACGGTATGTTTCTGTGCTATATGACTCTATGAGTCCAGTGACCCTTCTTCAGAACTGAAAATAGCTGGGGAAGGGTCATATTTATGCTAACGACAGAGTGGGAGGACATAGTGAATACAGTATGTGGAGACGGTGCCCAGAGAGAGAAAACAAAAGGGATAGGCAAGTGAAGAGCTTGCTGATGATTAGTGAAGAGAGTGATGGATGCTATGCAGTGTGCTAACGAGAAATGTAAATAATTGAAAATGGGCCAATGGTGCTGGGAGCAACTCATGCAAAACAGGACCTAGGAGTGCTGGGTGGAGAAGGTAACAAACATAGGGCAAAGTTAAACACAATGTTGAGTTCTGGAGGCTCTAGGGTAACAAGGTGGAAGATGAGGGTGTTATTCCTCCAGCAGCTTTTTTACATTTCGATCCCACTTTGTGCAAAGATGTCCTGCAAATTTGGATGTGATAACCTGCAGTGTAAGAGGAAAAAGAAGAAAGGTTTGGAGGGGTATGAGCCAGGAGCAGGCAGGTGGGACTGGTTTAGTTTGGGGTTATGTTCGGCATGGACTGTTGGACTGAAGGGTCTGTTTCCGATTGTATGATCGATGACTTTATGACTCTAAGGATCATGGTTGATGTTATATGGTGCTGCTTTTGCCTGATAATCTTTGGATAATTTTCTCCATTATTAGGTATCATGGAACAAATGCATTAAGCACTGGAAGTGTAGCCTTGTAATTACTTGAGGAGATCAGAGGGCCATCACTCAATCCATTCTTATGCATTTCTTTTGGCGATATAAATTTATTCATTTTAACAGGCCTACCTGCGGTTTAATACAGCAGACAAAAGAATAACATACAAGCACATTAATCAGCCATCCATTGATCTCACTAACAGCAAGCTCAAGATTTGTACCTCTTGATACCAGGCATTTCCAAACACCCCAAGGTGTACCTCTCTAGGCCACATATTATGTCAGGTGGTTCTGGGGACACTATTTCTATAGGCAGAACAGTGTGTTCGAAAGCAGAAGACTGTGATTAATTTGCCAGCTGCATATCTACCACTCCCTACATTTCTGCAACTCAATAACGTCTAGAAAAATTGCAATTTTTTAATTTAGAAATTTTAGTGTGGTTTCCTGTTGTCACAAGATAATGAGCTAAGCTAAAGAACATGGTAGCTAATAGGGGACCTCATTATAGTGCATAAAATATTAAATGGTGCAGATGAGGCGTACCCAGGATATTACTTCAAAGTAGGGCAAACTGATAGGACACACATAGAAAAGTAAAACCAATTATAGGAAGAACTTTTGACAAAAGATGATAAATGTTTGGGTTAATGCGTCAGGCACGTGTTGCAGAGATTAAAGTGGATGTTCCGGTTGGAGAGTAAAGATGCTCCAAATTTCAATGAGTTCAATCACCCTTATTCCATCCTAATGTCTTATTTAAGATAAGCATTTGCCAAACAATTTTGTAAACATGTTTTTTTAAAATTGTGTTAGGGTGCCCCTTTGAGGAGAAAGTCAATTATTACAAGTACTGAATTTTTCTGTTCTGATTCTAAACATGCATTAAGTCTTCATTTCCTTGATGGAATAATTATTTATGCACTGATAAATGTTTTTATTTAACTCTTCATTTCTCTTCTGTGGACTTACCCTGCATCATGCAGGTGAAAAGGTAGGCTGTAAGTCTGATTTCAACCTTAAAGACAGTCATTCAAAAAAGGGCAGTTTGCTTTCTGATTCTGCCTAACACTCCTCTTGACAATCACACATCCAACACTAGTCACCAATTAGTCATTATGTTGCTGGAGGGAGAAGGAGGAATTGCTTGAGTTATTCGCAGAGTAGAAGTAAGGGGGTGCATCAACAATCTGTATTAAGGTAGCACCTTAAAGTTTGGTTAGTTCAATTGGCTGGAAGGCTAGTTTGCGATGCCAACAGTGAGAGAAAATTCCCACACTGCCTGAGGTTACCATGAAGGTCCTGCCTTCTCAACCTCACCCCTTGCCTAAGGCTTGGTGACCTGGCAAGATGGCACGGTGGCAGCTCAGTGGTTAGCACTGCTGCCTGATGGCACTAGGAATTTGGATTTAATTCTAGTTTTGGGTGACTGTGAGGAGCTTGCATGTTCTCTCCATATCCATGTGAGTTTCCTCCGAGTGCTCTGGTTTCTGCCACCGTCCAAAGATGTGCAGATTAGGTAAAGTAGCTGCTCTAAATTGCCTGTAGTGTCTAGGGATGTGCAGGCTAGGTGGATTAGCCATGGGAAATGTGAGGTTACGGGGATAGGGTGGGATGCTGTTCAGAAGGTCAATGCTGACTTGATGGGCCACATGGCCCCTTTCTGTACTGTAAGGATTTTATATTTACTTCTATTTTGTGTAATTACAGGTAACAAAATGGTTTACATGATCACTCTTTTTGATGTTTGACGTGAATCCTATTTCCCAAGTGACAAAAGAATGATACCAGAACTACAAAGTTGTCCAATTAAAAAAGACTGAATCGACAGAGGCCATTTTCTCTAGAGCGTTGAAGACAGAGAGGTGGCCATGATATGGGTCTTTAAAATGTTGAAGGGTTTGATTAGATTGATATAGCGCAAATGTACATTACTGAGAAAAGAGATGACAATTTGTCTTCTTGTGCAATATATTACTGAGTAACTAGAGAAGATGTATCCAATTGCAGGACCAGAGTTAGATCTCAGAAATACAAGATAACCATTCATAAACCCAATCAGGGAAAACCTATTTACCCAGATGTGTACATCATTACCAGATAGAATGGTTGGGGCAGATTTTATTGATGTATTTAACGGGACAAAGAATGGAAGAAAAAGACTTGTATTTATAAAACATCTTTATGAATTCCTAAAAACCAAAGAACCAATGACGTACTTCAAAGTATAGTCACTGTTATGATGTAGAAATAGAATGGATCCAGCACAGGAATCCTTTTAGCACATCGGAACGGGCCAGCTCTCTGCAGGAAGAATTTAGACAGTTCCAAACCCATACCCTTTCTCTGTAACCCAGCTATTTGTTTTTCCTTGGGGTGCTCACCCAATTCATTTTGAAAGCCATGATTGTGTCCCAGTTTACAGGCAATGTACCAGGTAAAAGTGGTGGCATTGTTGTCAAGTCTCTAGATTAGCAATATAGAGTCCCAGGCACCAGTTCCAATCCCACCTGAGTAGGTGATGACAGTTGCAATCAATTAATGACATTTGAACTTGAGAGGTACTGATGACCATGAAACAATTGTCATAAAAACTCATGGAGTTTGAGAATGCCCTCTGTGGAAGGAATCCAGCCTACGTACCACTCTAAACCCACAACAATGCGCTGGACTCTTAAGTGCCCTCTGGAATGTTCTAGCAAGCCTTTACAGAAAAATCAAAGAGGAATAAAGCAAGATGGACAATCTGACATTGATCTAAGCAACAGAAATGGCAGTGGCACACCCAGTCCTGTCAATCCTGTAAAACCTCCTTATTGCAGAGGTACCAGTGTTGGACTGGGGTGGAATCATAAAGTCATACAGCACGGAAACAGACCATTCAGTCCAACTTATCTGTGCCAACGAGACATCCCAATCTGACCTGGTCCCATTTGCCAGCGTCAAACCATTCCTATTCATACACCCATCCAGATGCCTTTTAAATGTTGTAATTGTACCAGCCTCCAACACTTCCTCTGGCAGCTCATTCCATACACGCACCACCCTCTGCATGAAAAAGTTACCCCCACAGGTCCTTTTTTCTTCTCATTTTAATCTAATGTCCTCTAGGTTTGGAATCCCACCCTAGACCTTGGCTATTCACCCTATCCATGCCCCTAATGATTTTATAAACCTCTATAAGGTCACCTCTCATTCTCTGAAGCTCCAGGGTAAAAGACCCAGCCTATTCAGTCTCTCCCTATAGCTCAACCCTCCAGTCCCAGCAACATCCTTGTGAATCTTTTCTGCGCCATCTCAAGTTTGACAACATTCTTCTTAAAGAAGGGTGACCAGAATTGTACACAGTATTCAAAAAGTGGGTTCACCAAAATTCACATGATGTCCCAACTCCAATATTCAATGTTATTATCAATGAAAGCAACTGTGTTAAATGTCTTCTATATCACCCTGTGCAACTGTGACTCCATTTTCAAGGAACTATGCACCTGTACCCTGGGTCTCCTTGTTCGGCAATACTCCCATCTGGAGGTTTGGAGCTAAAACTGTCCCATGATGTAGTCCAGCAACAGCCTGACATTGTCAAAAATCAGGAAATGGTTCCTTGCAATGTGCCAGCCCTGGGTGTGTCTTGTCCCACTGGCAGGACTAAGTCTCTGCAGGTGGTGACACAGTAATGTCCAACTGGATGGAGATGCTCTGGGAGTCCTTAACATGGCATCAGGTTAAACATGGACAACGAAACCTCCTGCTGATTACCACCCCACATCCCCCTCAGCTGATGAAACCTCCCATGTTGAACATCATTTGGAAGGAGCACTGAGGTAGGAAGGACACGGAATATAATCTGGTTGGGGGGCTTCAATGTCTATCATCAACAATAGTTTGCTAGCACCTTGACATCTAAGCAGCGTTTGATCTAATGTGGTATCAAGGAGCCCTAGCAGAAAATTGAGTCAACCATTTTCAGCTGCTCCATCAATGACCTTCCCTCTTTCATGACATCAGAACTGGTGATGTTTGCTGCTGATTCTAAAATGTTTAGAATCATTCTCAAATCCTCAGATACTGAAGCAGACTGTTGTTAATCTGCAGCAAGACCTGAACAACATTCAGACTTGGGTTGATAGGCGGTAAGTAACATTCATGACTGGCAATGACCAACTCCAGCAAGAGAGGTCCTAACCATCATCCCTTGATGTCCAATGGCATTACCAATGCTGAATGCTAATATTCAAGCAACACGATACCACCTAAACAAAGCATCCCGCTTGATTGGCAACCCATGCACCATCTTCAATATTCACTCATTTCATCACTGATGCACAGTGGAGCAGTGGCTACTATCAAGAAGATGCACTGCAGCAACAAGACTCCTTAGAAAGCACCCTCCAAACCAGTGACCTCTTCCATATAGAAGGCAAGGGTAGCAGACACATAGGAACACCACCAATTGTTAATTCTCCTCCAAGCCACACAACATTCTGACTTGGGACTATATTGACGTTCCTTCACAGTCAGTGGGTCAAAATCCCGGAACGACCTCCCTACACTACATGGACTGCAGTGGTGCTAGAAGGTGGCTCAACACCACCTTCTCAAGGGCAATTAGGGACAGGCAACAAATACTGGCCTTGCTAGTGACACCCACTCGGATGAATTCATTTTTTCTAAATCCTACACTTTCCACTTCCTGGAGCAGTGACTGAACTGGACCATGTTTCAGAATTCCAGCATCTGCAGTATTTTGCATTTGTACAGACAACAGCAAGGATCTGGAAGAAACAAAAGCAGAAATTGATGGAGAAACTCATAAGATCTGCCAGCATCTGTGAAGAGAAATGCCATTAATATTTCAAATCCAGTGACCATCATCATAGATTCATAGAACCCCAGCGTAGAAACAGGCCACTCGGCCCAACAAGTTCACACTGATCCTCTGAACAGCATCACACACAGACCCATCCCCCTAAACCTACATTTCCTGTGGCGAATGCACGTAACCACACATCCCTCAACACTATGGGGCAATTCAGCATGGCCAATCCCCAAACTTGCATATCTTTGAACTGTGAGGGGAAACTGGAGCACTTGGCAGACACCCACATAGACTTGGGGAGAATGTGCAAACTCCACACGGACAGTTGACCAAGGCTGGAATCAAACGTGGGTCCCTGGTGCTGTGAGGTAGCAGTGCTGACCACTGAGCCACCGTACCGCCCATTCTGTGTTGACACTTCCTCAAAACGAAGAGTAAGTCATATCAGACTTGAAACGTTAACTCTGCTTCTCTCTCCAGAGATGCTATCAGGCCTGGTGTGTTCCTCCAGCAATTTCCGTTTTTTTGCTGTTTCAGATCTCCAGCGTCCACAGTTATGTGTTTTATTCATAAGACTGCCTCTGTGTTACTCTTGGATCTCCCTCTTTCTTTGCCTCATGCCCAAGACATTATTCGTATTGATCTCCTTAAAGAAGGGAAGGTTGAGTGGACATTTCATCAAGTGATACAGATTTTTAACAGCACAGAAAAAGGCCCTTTGGCCCATCTTGTCCACACTATTAAACCAAGCATCTATTATAATTCTATTTTGCAGCACTTGATCTTGAGAGAAAAGAGCATAAAAATAAGAAACATAAGAAACCTCATGGCATTTCTTCAAGAGCCATGAGATGACTCACCAAAGAATTACCAGTCTCTGACCTGTTCTGTAGCCAGGAATTGGAAAGTGCAGGATTTTTTTTAAAAAGATCACTCACCCAATATGGATATCACCGGCAAGGCCAGTGTTTATTGCCCATCCCTAATTGTGCTTGTGAAGGTGGTGAACCATTTTCTGGAATCACTATAGTCTTTGTGGTGTAGGGAGGGAATTCCAGGTTTTTGACCCACTGACAGTGAAGGAACAGCAATATAGCCCCAGATAAGGATGATTTGTGGTTTGGAGGGGAATCTTCTCATCACCAATGCTGCCCAGAGTTTCTCCAGCAATTTCTGTTTTTATTTCAGAATTTTAGCATCTGCATTATTTTGCAATTCTATACACACCAGGAAGGGCTTGGAAGAAACAAAAACAGAAATTGATGGAGAAACTCAGCAGGCCTGGTAGCTTTTGTGGAGAGAGTAAAAACAAGAGGTTAATGTTTGCGAGATAGTAGGAACTGCAGATGCTAGAAAATCTGAGACAACAAGGTGCAGAGCTGGATGAACACAGCAGGCCAAGCAGCATCACAGGAGCAGTAAGGCTGAAATCCACATTGATAGCATTGGGCTGCAGGGTTCCCAAGCGGAATATGAGTTACTGTTCCTGCAACCTTCGGGTGGCATCGTTGTGGCACTGCAGGAGGCCCAGGATGGACATGTCGTCTGCGGAATGGGAGGGGGAGTTGAAATGGTTCGCGACTGGGAGGTGCAGTTGTTTATTGCGAACCAAGCGTAGGTGTTCTGCAAAGCGGTCCCTAAGCCTCCGCTTGGTTTCCCCGATGTAGAGGAAGCCACACCGGGTACAGCGGATGCAGTATACCACATTGGCAGATGTGCAGGTGAACATCTGCTTGATGTGGAAAGTCTTCTTGGGGCCTGGGATGGGGGTGAGGGAGGAGGTATGGGGGCAGGTGCAGCACTTCCTGCGGTTGCAGGGAAAAGTGCCGGGTGTGGTGGAGCTGGAGGGGAGTGTGGAGCGGACAAGGGAGTCACGGAGAGAGTTGTCCCTCCGGAAAGCAGATAAGGGTGGGGAGGGAAAGATGTCTTTGGTGGTGGGGTCGGATTGCAGATGGCGGAAGTGTCGGAGGATGATGCGTGCGAACCATTTCAACTCCCCCTCCCATTCCTCAGACGACATGTCCATCCTGGGCCTCCTGCAGTGCCACAACGATGCCACCCGAAGGTTGCAGGAACAGCAACTCATATTCCGCTTGGGA